CCAGTAGCTTTAAAGCACCATAGACAAGAGCTGCATGAAAACATAAACAGGATACGGGCACAACCTTAAATTACATTATGTATGAATGTGATGTAACGAGACGTGTTATTGCTGCAACACTGTTGATCTGGCCTACATTCTATTCTACCCACGCTCTGTAACTGTTTATTATCCTCATGTCTGAAGTTTTAAAGAAAGGAAAAATTCCTACAGCGTAAACAGTTCAGTTAAATAAGTAAAGTCTGAAACTATGTGAGGTTTGTCACATAACGGATGTCGTAGCTTTAGGGCACTGTATTGTATTGTTGGCCGATTCCTGTGGTTTACAGACTGATTGCTCTCTGTACCTGTCATCATCCTTCATATTAACCCTTAGGTGTATAAATGTCACAAAGCAAGGCCAGACACAACAGGTAAGTGCACAACAGGATGGTTTATTGACTGGGTAAGTGGATGACTGGAATAGGTGAGTGAAAGGCAGGTGAAAGTCAACACAGTGAAAGGTTCCAGGGTGCTTATCCGAGTTCTGACGGAGAGGATCGTATGCCGTTTACGTTGGAGATCGTGGAGCCGTTTCCACGGAGTCGTTGGAGGATCGTGGGAGGAACAGCACGTAATTCGTTATAGGAGATTTTGGCAGAGAGAGTCCAGAGTAGTTCGTAGGAGTGAACGGTAGACCGGACAGTGAGTGACTGTGATGTGTGTGTATTTGTAGTGTGGCTTGATTGGTGACAGCAGGTGCGGGTGATCATGAAATATTACTACTACTACTACTACTACCACTACTACTAAATGAAATATTAAAAATAAAAAATATTATTTTGTAATGGTTCATTGTAAAACAAAAACAAGTATTAAAAACAACAATAATTGTAATAATTATTTTATTAATATATTATTACTGCTACTGAATAAAATACAAAAATGACTAGATAAAAAATAAGAAATATTGTCATTGTAATACTTTACTGTAATTTACACAAGTAAAATAATAATTATTTTATCACTGTAGAATTATAATACTTAAGTCTTAATTTGTTAAACTATCAAAATCTTATTTTGAAGGAAAACCACAGCTGTTTTTGCAGGGATAGTTTTCAATAAAGAGCTTTGTTTTACATGAAAATGTTTCTACATACAGTATTGAAGTACCATGCTAAAGTCCATATGTCAGCTTCGAAGTTTTAAACATGTATATTGCACTCCTATTTATGTAAATATTAGGTGTTACTCATCTCTAAGGCACCAATTGTCACAAAGCAAGGCCAGACACAACAGGTAAGTGCACAACAGGATGGTTTATTGACTGGGTAAGTGGATGACTGGAATAGGTGAGTGAAAGGCAGGTGAAAGTCAACACAGTGAAAGGTTCCAGGGTGCTTATCTGAGTTCTGACGGAGAGGATCGTATGCCGGTTACGTTGGAGATCGTGGAGCCGTTTCCACGGAGTCGTTGGAGGATCGTGGGAGGTCTTGGCAGAGAGAGAGTCCAGAGTAGTTCGTAGGAGTGAACGGTAGACCGGACAGTGAGTGACTGTGATGTGTGTGTATTTGTAGTGTGTAATAATAAAAAAAAAAAAATAATAGTATTATTATTAGTAATAGTAGTAGTAGTATTAAATTGTATTTTTATTTATATATTTATAGCACATTTACATGAAAACAACAACAACATTATTGCTATTTGTATTATTACATTTAGTAAAAAAACATGATTATTCTGACCTGTGAAGTATTGTCAGTTGGACTGTATTTATAAAATGTGTTATAAATTATATTTATATAAATTCTAAATGTGCTTTAAATTAACAACAACAACGATAATAATAAAGTACATAATATATAATATGATATAATATTTATTAAATATTTATATTATTATTTCTTAATATTTCTTACTATTATTTAAGTATTTACAGAACCTTTAAACCACATTTACCAAATGAACCAAGTAAAACATAAAAACAGTAAATGGTCTGAACAAACCAATTCTCTAAAATGAATTTAACTTCTCGAAAGTGGGATTCATATGCAAGAGATTGTCAGTTTAGGCAAGTATGTTTGATTATTACCCCACTTTGCTCTTCTGTAAATCTCTGTATGCAATACAATATTACAAAAATAGAAATGTAGCATTGTCACACCACACCGCTACTTGTTGGGAAAAAAAAAAGTAGCTAGTTTCTGAAAACTTACTGTTTTCAAAACAGCTGAGCTAGTGTCACTCTACTAAAACTTTTTAGTTATTCCCCCACACTGCTGCTCCTGTAAAAGTGACAGATGTCGACTGTTGTTGCTTCTCCGAGTTGAAGTGTTTGTGTATTGGAGTTGTACACATCTGCGCACCATGTACCTGTGTGTGTGTGCGTGAGAGAGAGAGAGAGCCTTCTCTGTGGTGTGCAAGTATGAATTATTCCACGTTGCCTGCCATGGAGCGGCGTTGATTGACGTAACCCCTTGTGACATTTCGGTAGTACAGTGAGCTTTGTTCAGTGATGCTAAAAAGTGGCGGGTGCACAGCGTGCACCTTGCATTGTAAAGAGAATATCAGATTACATGCACTCTGGGCTGATTGGGATGGACAGCGCAGCACGCAGGCTAATAAAATAAGACCATTAATTGGATCTGGCTAGGTTGTACTGGCCTCTAACTATGGCGTAAGATTCGCATGGCCTGCGGTTATATGGTTACAAGAGAGTCTGGCCTGAAATTAAATGCACTGTATTCTTTAGTTCTGAGAAATCAGATCTTAATCCATGTCTCCATAGATTCTAAAACCACTTTTATCTCAATAAGGTCAGTGCTTACATTGGTTTAGTCGTGTGGCCTTGTTGCTCTACTAATTTATTTATTTGGAACTGTGCCCTGCGTGGGTCACTGTGACCTGATTCCTCTTCCATCTAAAGTGTGTTGGGTCTCAGATTTGGATCCAGATGTTTGCCCTCAGGCATATGAGAGGACGGCTGCTTAGCCTCCAAGACCATCACTCAAAACACTGGCAGGACCTCAAAAACCGAGTCACATCTCACAGCAAGTCACGTGCCCTCTCTTGATTTTATCTATCGCAGAAATGTCCAGGTAATCAAACCACACCGTCTTCAATGCTACCCATAAGCCATACTTTCAACTCCAGCTGCGTTCATGTAGGTTCCAGTGGCTTATTTTAAAAGGATATCCATCCCTCATGAAAACCCCCTGAACCCCAACCATCCCCATCTCATCTCGATGCAGTTGTCCATTACAACATTACAAACATAACCCCCCCCCCCCGGGGGACCGATCCCCAAGCTTTTTCCAGAATGGTGTTTGCTGGCCTCGGCGGGGCGGTGATGGGGACAGTTATCTGTTGCTCTTGAGCTGGAGAGAGGGCTATTGGGCTTCTGAGGATGTTGACTCCACAGATATGGGTCATGAGAGGATTTGCCAGAGATCAGGGGGATTGAGGGGGGTAAATACGGCTGTTGTGGTGGGACTTTATTGGAGTCATTGAGTTTGTTGTTCTTCAGTAACGTTAGGAGGCACATAGTCTTGTGTTGGAGGAATTATTGCATTTAAAAGCAGCCAGACGGAGCAACAGATTGAAGTACGTTTAACTTGACACAGCATTATAAACATGTGGCATT